CAAATCAGTGTTTAAATTAAGTTGCATATGATACAGACCTGATCTCAAACTATTTCTTGTTAGATAGATAGTTGTTGGTTTGGTAGCTACATCGTTAAATTTTCATCCTCCTTTATTGTTTTAAAAACTAGTATTTCGACAAAAAAGGAAGAGAAGTAACTTTTTAACTAACTGTTTCGTTTGTAAAAAATCAGTTTTTTTTTTACATCCAGTGGAAACTCTCATTAAATAAAGAATGTAGAATTTGAGGAAACTAAAAATTTTCCCTTGATCAACCACCGTACTGTCAACAGTAATCTCAAATTATTCAGCATGTCAGGCACCACAATTGTTAAAAAACGTAGTTGGTTTTCCAAAGCAAGTTCGAATGCTAGTTTTCTTAAAAAGAATATTCTCCATTTAAGACTTCTGCCTTTTTTTAGAGTATCTTTGAAATTGCTCAGTGTGTAGGAATTTTTTAAATAATTTTTTTTTTCATTATCCGTAATATTCCAAAAAGAATTTAGCATTCCGTAATTATGTTTATATCGTTCAGCCCTTGAAAAAAATCTACTTCCTCCCTTTTCTGGGTTTGTTTTTATGTAAAAAGATTTTAGAAAATGCAAAAAATGTTGATATGCTATTCAAATATTTTATGCAAAATTATGCCGAAAATATAAGACCTTAAGTTTTAAAAGTTTTAATCATTAAATTTAGTAAAATTTTCATTCGCTAAATTTCATTTATGTTTTCATAATAAATAAACAAATTTACGCTTTTAAAAATCATTCTTAAATTTGTTCTTAAACACAGATTTCAATTTTTTTTTTTTTTGAAACTCTAGATACGATGTAAAATTTCTATTATTATTTTATGAATGATTCGAGAGCTTTTTCATGTTTAAGTTACAGATAATTTAGAATTTATCCCACGTCTCTGAGATACAAATAAGTACTTGAAAGCAATTATGGATTTGAAAAAGATAATTAACGTGTGTCGCTTTATATATATGTATTTTAAATTCTATTCAGAATAAGTCACAACTTTATTCCCCCCCCCAAAAAAAAAACTTGAACAGCCATTGATATATGCTAATAATCTGTTATATTTCTGTATGTAATCGAAAGATATTCTGTTTAAATCCTGTGTAAAAATATCAAGGGCATTTTCAGGAATACGTACTTTTCTTTGCTGCGATGCGTTTGAATAATTTTTTGGATGGGCACTGTTAAAATAATTTGTTACAATTCTTCTGTTCTGCAATAATTGAAAATGTTTTTTAAAAGGAGAGTAAAGAGGATGACATAAATTGAAACGCAAACTTTATTTCGAATTGCAAGGATTCACATAAAGATTTTAAGATTGAGTAAACTTAGAACCTTTAGAAAATAGATGGATATTGATTGCAAAACTGGATAGGAAACAAGTATGCGTTTCATATGCCCTCCATCGATAAGCCTTCATTTCGCAACTTTTTTCGGAATTCCTTCCTTAAGAACAAATAAACCCAGTGTATGGTATCTAGTGACGTATATGATGACCGTCTTGGCAACGGCATACATTTAATTTTTTTATCATAAGAAACACAGATAAGATTCGTTTTCCCCTCATATCTGTGTTACAATTTTGTCTCTCTACGCGCAGCATAATAGCTTTTGTTTTTAACGCTTTTTCATTGGTTGTCGTCGTACTAAAATTAGATTCGAAGAAAAAAAAAAGAATCATGGTTAATCACTTAACGTAATTGAATCAACTAAAATTAAATTTTAGCTTTGTTGTGAAAAATTAAACTTGATATTTATCGTAAAAAATAAAAGTGCATTGTTAATTATTGTCAAAACCTTTTACAAATAACATGGTACAATTCGTCACCTGAGACGAAGCTTTGAAAATAAAAAGTTTATGACGTCTTTTTGGTGCTACATTATATAAGCTTTTTTGGTGCTATATTATAAAACGTGCTATATTATTTTTTGATTTATAATATTTAAGAGTGTAGAGGTACTCTCTTAGGTAGCATACACGAAGTCAAAACTCTAAAAAAGGCTTTATTAACTTACCGCTACGTCCGGAAACAGGAGACAGGAGACCACTGGGTGAGCAGCTGTGCCGCCATGAAGATTTTCAGCTTTATTGCTCACTCAGTGGGACCACGTTTATTTAAAATTGTATATTACAATAAAGATTTTGATGTATGCATAATTTTGACATATACTTAACATACATTGACAGAATTCATATAAATATTAACAGAAATTTTGATAGTACGTACATAGAATATAGAATGCATAATGTAGAATACAAATGAAGATTTAGGTACAAAGTTTGGTTACGTCCGGAAACAGGAAACGTAAGAAGGTGCTTGTAAAAAACTCTTTTAAATCTGACCTTAAATAATTGAACAGAAAGAACTTCTTGTGCTTATTAAAGCAGCCAGTGTTTATGACGTAACACAAAGGTAAGGAATTTCCAATTAACTAAATCTAATTAGCTAAAGACTATACAGAAACGATTAGCGCTCAGATTGGCTCAAACCTGTACCAGCGTGAAAAGCACAATTGGGAAGAATCAAGTAACGCCGAAGACAGACTGCTAACATAGAATATGAACTACTAACGTGGTCTCCAGCAGGCGGAACACGATCTGTGTAACCAATCCAAAACTTCCCTTTAAGTACTCTTTCTTTCTACCTCATTTAAATATGTGCGAACTAAAATTACATTATGGCAGGAAAATAGAAAGGGAGAAAGGAGGACAGTATAAATACTGAACATAAAATAACTGGTTAATTAAAATAAATAACTACTCTACAAGCGTAATACTAGTGCTTAAATGAAATACGTATTTGATGCTTTCACAGATTTACAAAAGTAAACGGATTGTTAAATTTAAAATTAGCAAAACCTTTTTTTAGTTATTCTACCCATATCCTGTTATCTGCATTAATAATTTGTAACTGTTTAATGAGCAGAATTTCCGTTATTCAGATAATTTGGCGGCGATCAGTATTATTTTTTTTCTTTTTTAAAAAAAGAAAGAAGCACTACAAGATTCCTTTTCTAGTTTGCCGTTTTATGATATATTTCGGTTTTAAACATTCAGAATCTATTCGGTTTTTTTATTAAGTTTACGTACCATTCATGTGTATGGGTAAATGTTTTTAGCCCAAATAGGCGTTAGCCCAGAACGACTATTTGTCTCAAAACGAAATTTTGCGTTGAATCAGAACCATTTTTGAAATTGTTGCCACCAAATATTATAGCCCTGTATTTAGGGAAAGTAAATAATAAAGCATCTACATGCATGTATTATGACATAAAATGGGGACTACAACCCATCCGGGGGCGTGGATCGAGTAAAATTCAAGTTATCTGAATATCCCCAAACTCCATATTATTAATCTCATTTTCCCTCTTTAAGCTAAATACAAGCGTACTTAAAAATGCAAATGATGGAATTTTGTTTATTGTTTATGCTAACTCATTTTAACAAAGATTATTCATTAAAAAATATTATAACTTCCATAAAATAAGGATACATTTCTCGACAAAATTTAGCAAAACTGTTGTTTTTAGTTACTTAAATAAAGCCATTTCTACTAAAATAAAGCATTAAAATTAATATTTTACTCTCTAAAATATAATTTATTTTATATTTTATTTACTGAACTAAAATTAACCTTTTTTTTTTTTTTTTTTTTTTTGTGAAAAAAAATATTATGTATCTTATATTTTGTCTTAATTATCTTATATTTATTAAGCTAAGATTAAAATAGCAACCGATTGGATAAAAAACACTGAATTCTTTCCAATGAATGAGATAACTGCATTCACTTTTTCATGGTTTTCATCATGTGTAAGCTGGATATGAATCAATTTCTTTTTTAAAGTCCTCCACGAAGGTAACCTTTCCGTAGGAAATAGCCCTTGCATCAAGATTTAAATTAAGAAATTATTTTTATTAGTATTTATAGGTTACACAGTACTTAGAGTAGTCGTATAGTAGTAGAATAGTAGAGAAATGTAAGTTCTTATGTAGTCTAGTAGTAGAGTAGAGAAATTTAAACTAATATAGAAATAGTAGAGAAACCTAAGTTCTTATGTAGTCTCAAAATTAATTTCATATGTCCTTACAGTAATAGTATCTTTTTGTAAAAAACTCAAATTGAGAACAAGTGTAATTTTACTCGGCTTAGAAATAACAGCAAGTGGTATGACAAATTGAAGTTCTGGAAAAACGGAGTCCAAATAATAAAATTCCAAATGTACAGAAAATTGGGACTACAACCCATCTTGGGGCGGGGATCGAGCAAAATTCCAGTTATCTAAATTTCTCCAAACTCCATATTATTAATCTCATTTTCCCTCTTTAAGCTAAATACAAGCGTGCTTAAAATGCAAATGAGGGAATTTGGTTTATTATTTATGTTATCTCATTTTAACAAAGATTATTCATTAAAAAAATGTGAATACTACCAAACTCCAAATAGCTTAAGTTTTGTTCCATGCATGTGCATGGTCTTTGTGTCTATCATCATGTAGGTGAAATCAATTGATAGGCGTCACACGGCGATCTTCTTCGCTTCGAGATCAGCTCGTGATGCCTCCAAGTTCTTCGTACATTTTAATAAACGTTTTTACTTTTATTTTTTCCTTTGCGTCATTGCTAATGAATACCGCTTCTTTATTCATAGTTGGTCTTTTATTTTGCTAATTCAAATCGCACCTACATTAATAGGAGACTTGGGTTTTTATTTCTCATTTATAATGAAGCATTCATTGAAGGTCTTTAAAACAATGCGATTATACTGATAAGACATATTCTCAATGGGATATAAGCGGTTGGTTTCAAAAAACCGTCTTGGGTGCAGCAGGAACACTCCTCACTTAATTATATCGATGAATTATTCAAAACGTCTGCTATCATTCGCGGTGTCATTAGAAAAAATTTCATCCTCTTCAACCATTTTTTTATCTTTATCTTTAATGCTGATTGCTGCTTCTTTTCCTAATCATTTGCAGGCATCCTCTGTTCCCTCTGCTGGCGTTGATCTTCGAAAAGTGCGAGTTGGCCACGTGCACCCCCAGGGAACCTGGAATCGCAGGGGGAGACGTCTGCTCGTCGGAATCTTTCAACGAAGACATCGCAGTCTTCGCCAAACAGGTAACCTACCTCCTTCTGAGTTTATGAATGCATTTATTTTGGCGAACTGTACATTGCTTGCACGCTCTTTTGCTGAGTTGAGCACTCACTGAAAAATGTTTTTGAAAGCACATTGCACAAAATTTATACTTAAAAAGAATTTAGGAGTCATTAAGAGGAAAAAAGCATTTAAAAGTATTTTAATTCTTTACTCTGATGAAAATGAAACTTGAACTTGTCTTAGGTAACTACAAATTCCAGGACTAATTGAGATTAAAGAGAAATACTTGGAATGATGCACAAGGTAACAAAGAATTAATCGATATAATCATTTAGTAGATACTAAAAAAATCGATATTTCAGAATAAGAAAAGGATTTTTTAGTCATCATTGAAGTTTAAGCACAACAGTAGCATTATTTTATTTTATACTCAAAACGTGTACTTCTAAGTAAATTAAAATTTACTTAAAATTTCTTTTATATTTCAAGGTTTTCTGTTTGTGTATCCTGTCCTTATGTCGTACTTTGATTCGTATATTATTTTCAATTTTTTGTCTGTAATTAATTTTTAGTTCATAAATTTTATTAAGATAAATTCTTTTCAAATATAATTTAATTTTTGACTTGTAAATAAAGTGCTTCTCATTTGAACTGCAATCCTTTTATACACAGCATTGCATTTAACTTAATAATATATAAATGAAAAGTGAAAGGAATTAGAATTCACTAACTGTAATTTAAGAGACCGTTAACATTGGGGTTTATCTGAACTAACGGAGACATCTGACCCAACTCCAAAACCAGTTTTTCCTCGCAGCGAGCGGGACAAACTGGAAAACATGAACTTGACGTATAGCCGAGATAGTTGACACATGGAATTGGCTCGACACGTGGACTGGCGTTAGCTCAAATAAACCTTAGTGTGAATGGCCCTTAAAAGTTAACCAATCCCTTTGGCTCCACTTGTGAGCGAGGGGTTAAAACCGCTATATTGGTGGTTCGAACCTAGACATCGGGACTGCTACATTGATGGTTTTCCATGTGTGTAACGTGAATACGATCAGGTTTCTCTTATCAAGTCCTCCACGAAGGTATTTCTGTCTTTAAGCGGATAGCCTTCGCGTTGTTTGCCATATTGAGGTAACCTAACTAATGATTGTTCGATATAACAATATACACTGAAAAAAATTTCGAACGTCATAGCATTTTAAATAATATCAAAGATAATCGGATTGTCAAAGATAATAGAATAATTGTTTTCCTATTGTGCTTAATCATAAATCTACGATTATGATTTTTATAATACTCTCCCTACAGTGACTCCTCAGGCCTACCTTGTATCCTGCAGGCTTACTCACTTTTAGCATGCAAAGAGTAGATTTCCTCAAATCGAAGGCAATACTGTAGTTTCGGCAACTTCCCCCCTCCCAAAAAAGCTGTTTATATATGCATTCACAGTAAATATTAGCGAGTTTCCATTGAGAAGGCGTATGCAGGCATTCTTCACTACAAACAGATAGCCGCCATAATCGACTAAACGATGGCAATAAAAAATATAGAAATTGTTTCCGGGCAGATTTCATGTTTCATCTTTCACTTCAGTAAAGCATAGATCGAGCAGTAAAGCACTGGTTTCTTGTTGACGACGCAAATGTAAATATTTCAAATTTGCAAAAATAAAATTTCCGCAAAAGAAATTTCCAGCGTAACAATATTTTGTTGCAATTATGTTATTTTATTTATTTTGTTTTATTATTAGTCCAAAGGGATTTGAATCCCGAAGGACTATTAGTTTCGTTTTGGCATTTTGCGTCGGACGGATAAATGTCGGTACACTTTTCAAACTGTTGCCATAAAATGTTAGAGTCCTGCATTATATTTGAAGAAATTAAATAATGAAAATCTGCGTAAATGTATGTATATTTCTCACATTGTCATAAAATAACGGTACATAGAGTCATCGAATTTTGAATAACGTAATCCTCCAACGAATATGAGCATGTGGAAGACCAAATTTGAAATTTGAAATTTGTTTTATGATCGATTTCCTATTTTTTAAAACTTTGACGAATTTTTGATTAACAAACTCAAGGATTTCAAAGCGAGCAATGGCAACGTTGTGCAGAAAAAACATTTTTATCTCCAGCGCGTGAGTCTCTGTATCGGAAATTCTAAAGATATGCTCGTTTTAAAACTATTTTGCGATATTGCTGTTGCACTGGATCTTATGGTTTAAGTGCGAGGAACATGATATTTAATAAAGAAAGGTAACACACAAAATGTTAAAAAAACGCCCCTTTGGACGTAATTTAAAATCTGAAACATTTCAGATTTTGTTTTTCTTTTATTATTTTTTATTATTCCGAAGGGGCAATTTGCCCTGAAAGGACTATTGTTTTCGTTTTGAGATTTTGCGTTGAAACTTTTGAAAGGCTGTGTCACTTTTCAAACCGTTGCCACGAAATGTTTTCGACCTGTATTATATCTGAAGAAATCAAATAATGAAGAATCTGCATAAATGTATATATGTTTATCGCATTGGGATAGAACAAAAGTACCTAGAGCCATCAAAATTTGACTAACGTAATCTTCGATAGAATATGGGCATGTGGAAGCTCTAATTTGAATTTGAAATTTGTTTGATTATCGATTTCATACTTTGTAAAACTTCAACGAATTTTTGATTAAAAAAACTAAACGATTTCAAACCGAGAAATGGCAACGTTGTAGAGAAAAAACATTTTTAATCTCCAGCGCGTGAGACTTAAAGATATGCTCAATTTAAAATTATTTTGCGGTATTGCTCTTGAACTGAATTTTATGGTTTAAGTGCGAAAAACATGATATTTAATAAATTAAGGTAACACACAAAATGTTAAAAAAACGCGCCCCTTTGGACGTAATTTAAAATCTGAAACATTTCAGATTTTTTTTTCTTTTTATTTATTTATTTACTTTAGTCTTTCCATTATACACAGGCCAGCCAATGAGTATTAAATTTTTTAGCTGAGGGGCCAAGCGTACGTAGCTCTTCGATAGTTGCAGATTTACTGCTGTTTCGAATATGATTTATGTGAACTATCTATACAAGCGTATTATATTTTAAAACATTTAGGATGTTTTTAACATTTACTAGTTTTTTATTAATAAATTTACATTTAGCAACCTTCTTTCACTGAAACATTTTCTCCTGCCTTTTTTACGCCACGAGATTGTGAAACGGCTATTTCTCCGAGCATGGCTCTGCTATTTATATTCAGGCAGATGTTTCTACTCAATTCTGAAGAAACTTGGCCAGACTATTGACTTTTTATTAAGCGTAATGCTCAATAAAAGATCCTGTAGTTGTTGACTTAGAGGAAAATTTCGCGAATGGTAATTGGATTTTAGTCATTTGAATCGCAATTCCAATGTTGAAAGTAGAATCATTTTAGACAGCTGACTTCCGATAGCTTTAATAGAATATGACGTCATGTGATTACATCTGTTAAAGATTAGGTCATTAACAGTTAAGTTATGTGCAAGAATCACTGCAGCTGTTATGTATTGAATACCCAATTCCATTTAAAAATTAGATTAAAAAAAATCTTCAAAAATCATTTTGCCTGTACAGTACTAGCATACAGTAAAAACCTGTCAAGAGACCTTCCGAAGGAGATTATCCGTAAGAATGAACAGTATTTCTTAGAACATAAACAAGCATCGGTTCTGAACATTACATCTCTAAAGCGACCACTTGCACAGAATATCACAGAGTGCCAGCATACCGTGACATCTATCAAGAGGATTGCCTTCCGTAGGCGATTATCCATGTGAATCAGCAGTATTTTTTAGAACATAAACAAACATCGGTCCTGAACATCGCATTGCGTAGACCACCGCTTCCTCAGAATATCATAGAATACCTACCTACAGTGAAACCTGTCAAGAGATTGCCTTCCGTACACGATTATCCATATGAATCAGCAGTATTTTTTAAAATATAAACAAGCACTGGTTTTGAACATCATATCTAAGCGACCGTTTCCCCAGAATATCACAGAGTGCCAGCATACCGTGACATCTCTCTAGAAATTGCCTTCCGTAGACGATTATTTATATGAATCAGCAGTATTTTTTAGAACATAAACAAACATCGGTCCTGAACATCGCATTGCGTAGACCACCGCTTCCTCAGAATATCATAGAATACCTACCTACAGTGAAACCTGTCAAGAGATTGCCTTCCGTACACGATTATCCATATGAATCAGCAGTATTTTTCAAAACATAAACAAGCACTGGTTTTGAACATCATATCTAAGCGACCGTTTCCCCAGAATATCACAGAGTGCCAGCATACTGTGACATCTCTCTGAAATTGCCTTCCGTAGACGATTATTTATATGAATCAGCAGTATTTCTTAAAACATAAAACAATCATCGGTTATGAACATCACATCTCTTAGGCGACCCCTTTTACAGAACATCAAAATCCTCTGAAAGTATAAATGATCATCTTGTAGAGACATTAGGTATTTTTTGGAAGCAGCAGAGTTCAAAAATTAGTTATTCTAACAGTTCGCTGACAGTTATTCGTCCCACCGACCAGGCACAAAATCCGCTTCGTTAAACCTGAGGTCGATAGCCTGGCCGGTGGCTCCCACTCCCTCCCTTTTTAGTTCGGGCACCACTGTAATGGCATTAGGTATTTTTTTTTGGAAGCATAAGTGAAAAATAAGCAACGCCCTCGCCGGGAATCGAACCACGGACGTCTGGAATACGGGCCCAGAGTGCAGACCACCACACCACGAAGGCATGCAAAGAAGGCGGGAGAAATACCTTATAATCTTAAGCAGATTTCCTTGTATGATCGAGCTTATCGTGTAGTAAATTGTTGAATGAGGATCGTGGCTTTCTGATTTTAGTGTAGCGATGGCCATCAGTATGTTTTATGTGTCATTTAAAACTAAAAGTCTTGAAGAGTAACGCCTTTGAAAAGATTTTTATTATTGTCATGGCATCGTAGCAAATAAGAAAT